TGTTACTACTAGTAAGGCACTTGTTCCTAGAAGCGTGGCACTTGTTAGTAGTAGTAACAAGAAGCTACTGTCTTCAAGGCTCCGAGGACTCGTCCAGTTGTGTTTGCGCCTTGTTCCCTTTCGTCGCTTCTAAAAGCAAACGACGTCAAAAGGAAGAAGGGAAGAAAGGCCTAAAGGGCCTAAAGTTAAAAAGAAGAAGATCAAAAAAGAAAGAAGAAGCAACGCTACTAGGTTGGAGGCCATCAAAAGAAAGCAAGCTCTTTTGTTGCGAAGTGCAGGATTGCTAGCCTGTTGGCAACATTGCCCGCGCCGAAGGATCCTGGCCGAACATGTCTTTTTCGTTTCTATCTATAGTTGGCACCTTCATATGTTGCTTCACACAACACTGAAATGCTTCTCTTCTTGGAATGCTACTAGAATAGTTACTCCCAGCTCTTGGGTCTGGGTCTTCTTGCAAGCTCCTTTAAACGGCTTGGGACTGTTAGTTAGAGAGTTAGACATGCCATTGAAGGCCTTATCCATCCTGATCCCTTGCAATCCACTGGCCATTTGACCGTTGTGATCACTTGTGTTTTGTGAGTCTTGCATTGTCAGGTAGCTGGCGGTGGTGACTCAGAGTGATCACCGTGAGCTGTTAATGAGTAGCCGCTACTAGCCCTATCCGTTCCAGAGCTGGTCGGAGAAAAATGCCCTTCGCAACCTGCCGGTCGAAGTGAGCAAATCTGCAAAAAGCATACAAAGAAGTAGTAACAAGGCACCTTACTACTAGGAGCAAGGTGCATCGATACTAGTAACAAGGGCATTGCTACTAGGTGGGAGGCCATCGCTACTAAATTAAAGAAGACACCATAGGTAAAAAGTTAAAAGGAAGATAAAGGCCTTTTCGTTCTTCTTAAAGGTAATCTCAAAGAGGGCCGTGCGTTCCTGTTTTTCTTTTTATATTGTTTGCAGATTTTCACAAAAGACTCCTTTAGTAGCATGCAGCATGCAAGAGTGAAGAGAAGAGGAGCAAGGATCAAAATCAAACAAAATACAGGAGGCAAGTAAAGAAATAAAAACAACAGAAAGAAAGAATGGTCTTAAGGTCTAAAGACGGAAAGACAAGAGAAGACAGATAATGAAAGAAACAGACATGTTTGAAGAACAAAGACAAAAGCGCAAGAAAAAGGACAGATGTATAGAGGATACTCAAAAAGTCTAAAGAGAGAAACAACAATAAAAACAATGTTCGCTACTAGGAGCAAAGGGCATCGCTACTAGGAGCAAGGACGCTACTAGTAGCTCCTGGCCGGACTACTACTAGTAGCTCCTGGCCGTACTACTAGGAGCAATGTTCGCTACTAGCTTCTTGTTCCTAGTAGTAAGGCCCTTTGCTCCTAGTAGCTTCGTGTTCCTAGTAGTAAGGCCAGGAGCCCCTAGTAGCGTTCTTGCTCCTAGTAGTAAGGCCCTTTGCTCCTAGTAGCGAAAGTATAGTAAAACATAGGAAATAAGACAAGATCCACAGGCCCAAAGAGTAACACATGTTGCGTAGGAAAAAATGAAGCCAAACAGATTTTGCTCTAGACTCCTTTAGTTGTATGCTCAGCATGCTGCATGCTGTTCGTGTTTGTTTTGGAGCACTTGGACCTGCTTGCACAGCTGCTTGCGCAGGCGGGCTATGTACAAGGTCCAACGGGTGGGGATGTATGGTGACAGTATGTTACTAGTAGCTTCTTGATCCTAGTAGCGATGCCAGGAGCCCCTAGTAGCGTCCTTGCTCCTAGTAGTAAGGCCAGGAGGCCCGAACGTAGCATGGTGAGTTGCATGGCATTTTGGACCTTCTGTTTCTTTCTTTCGTAGGAAAAAGGCATGCAAAAGCATCACCGACAAGCCCACCTTTTTGGACAACAGTTAACCTATCCAGTATACTGTAACGACCGGGCTTAAGACCTTGCGATGGCCTTATTGGACCTTGTTTTCCTTTTCTTTTTCTTTGTTTCTGGTAGCGATGGCCTCCCAACCTTCAAAGACTGAAACCTTCTGACAGCGTGCTGGCAGGTATGACTCCTCACTCAATCCCCACCGCCCTTGGCAGAACTCTTAGATCGAAGCGAGCACAAAATGCAATCGCCATTTTTGGACCTTTTGTGTTTATGTCCTTTTCTTTAGACCGTTTCTTCCTTTTGTGTCTTCTTTTCTTCTTAAGACATTTTCTTTCTTACAGTTCTTCATCAAAATGCTTTGATCGACTTTTTAGCATTGATTTGTGACAGTGGTGCAACCAGTAGGCTTTCCGACTTCAAAAGACCTAAAGAAAACAAAAGCATGTCTCGCTTTTTCTCTTTATCAAAGCCGTTTGTGTGCTCAGTGCTACTTCCAAATTATCGTTTCATCTTCAAGTGGGTAGAGCTCAAAGCCTACAATATTAAACGCCAAGGTTTTTCAAGACAACCTTGAAGCTAAAGCTGCTAGAGTAGTAACAAGAAGCTAGTAGTAACAAGTGCCTTACTAGTAGTAACAAGAAGCTAGTAGTAATTACTACACACTAGCTATAGCTAAAGCTGAACCCTGAAATTTTGATGGACACTTGGACCCTCTATCTCGGTGTAGAGAGACCCTCTCTACTCCTCACTTACCCAAGCGCTTTTAGCTTGCAGGCATGGTGCCACATTCAGCTGTTAGGTTGATTAGCTTGTGAAAGAAGGGAACCACCTTCTTTCAAATCCAAGATGAATGCCAAGCACTTTCGCTGCTTAACAAGAATGCTGGAATGGCTTAAAGCAATTCTTGGCAAGAATGCTACATAGGTCTAAATTGTCCTCCTGGTCCTGGTCCTCCTCTATTTGCTACAAAAAAGGAAGACCACAGGAGCCAAGAAGCCACTAGAGGCTCCTGGCCTCGCTACGTTCGGGTCAAAAGCAGGTGCCCTTTATGTCGCCGAGATCCGCTTGGCCTTCAAGGCGATGAAAGAGGCACGCACATGCTTAGGATCGTGGTGTTTGTTTCCCTGTTGAGGGCGGGGGAAGGCCGTAGAGGAGGAAGAGGTAGCAGCTAGAGGTAGCTAGTACCTTACTGAAGCTACTAGCATGGATGGATGGCTTACGCTTCCTCAAGGAAGCTGCCCCCCGGAGGGCAGCGGGGAGCTTCCTTGAAGATGCGCTCGCAGTGGCTTCATTGGGTTCCTAGATACTTAATCCGCAGCTCTCTACGACTGTAGTGCTTTATGTTAACGGCAAGCAGCAGCTTGCAGGGTATCCAAGGCTTTCCGTTCTCAGAGAGTCATGCATTCTGCTTGGACGCAAAGAACTTGACTTGGACACTCTTCGATCATAATTATGGTACATCATGTGGTTGGAGGCCATCGCTACTAGGTTGGAGTGGATTAGGTTGGACTGGGGTAATGTTGCTTTTCTGTCCACACGTGCGCTGGAAACCTGTTCCGTGCAGAGCAGTTTGACATGCAGAGCAGTTTTGCTTGCAGGAAAGGTGGGATGAGCTCTGGCGGCCGACCAATGGCGAAGTGAAGATGCCGCTCCCCCCGACGGCTCCCCCCGTGGGGAAGCAGGCAAAGTTGAAGCAAAGTGTCCGGCGGTTTGCGCGGTTTGCGCTCGCATGTGTGTCGCATCCAGCGCGGTTTGATGCGGTTTGCTTCAGTAAATCGAAAACATTGAACGGTTTGCTTTCAGGCACCTCTCCACGTCATGCTGAAGAACGGCAAGCTGGTGGTTGGGAAGCTTGAGAAGGCCAAGAGGGCGGCCGAGAGGGCCTCTTGGGACCTATAGTAGCTAGAAGCTGACAAGAAGCGACTAGTGACTAGTAGCGAAGCTTCGCAAGTCGAGCCAAAAGGGAGGTTTGTGCCTTTGGCGCTCAGACTTGACAGATCAGATGCATTTCGATTCTTTTTGTTATGCTTATTCTTGTCATGCTATTAGGTTGGAGGCCATCGCTAGTAGGTTGAAGGCCATCGCTATCTGGTTACTTCAAGTCGTTTTTATTTATTACGTTTTTTAACAGAAAAATACCGGAGAAAAGACAAACAACTCTAAAGGCATTCCAGACCTGCAGCAATTTTTGTCTTTCAAGTCCCGTTTTGCGCCGGTTTTGCTTCTGCAAAACGGTGGTTTCCGGCTTCACGCCAGGTGCTTCAATGCCCCAACGCGCAGAAGCAGGCAGGTCCGACAGTGCAAGTTAAGTCAAAGCCAATCAATCTTATACGTGTGCATGTAAAACCAAATAGCCTCCAACCTAAGAGCGATGGCCTCCAACCTAATAGGAATGGCCCCAACCCAATAGAGATGGCCTCCAACCTAAGAGCATTGGCATGGCCTCCACCCTACTAGCGATGGTATCCAACCTAGTAGCGATGGCCAACCTAGAAGCAATGGCCTCCACACTGAAATATATTCTTGTACATGTGCATGTGTGTTTGCGTGTGTCCACCGCAAACTGTAAAGTGCACTTGTTTAGAGTGATACTAAAGTTCAAAAATGAAGATCCAAACCCAAGTGCTTATAGCTTCTTGTTACTAGTAGTAAGGCCAGGAGCCCCTAGTAGCGTCCCTGTTCCTAGTAGCGATGCCCTTTGCTCCTAGTAGGGTCATTGTTGACAATGATTCTAATTCCAGCAAGGTCTAAAAGAAAGACCGTCTAATTTAATTCTGATTGTAATTTAATTCTAGTTTAGTTTAATGTTACTTCAAATTTTTGTTTCTAATAGCAAACATTGTTACTACTAGTAAGGCCAGGAGCCCCTAGTAGCGATGCCCTTTGCTCCTAGTAGCAAGGTCTAAAAGAAAGACAGCCTTGTGATGTCAAAATAGGAGTTCCTTCAGCTACGCCAGCAGCTTTTTTCCTTGCCCTTGCAAACTTCATAGCCTCTTCCCCTACAAGGAAGAATCATGACACCTCCAGAAATCTGTGTTTGTCTTTCTTATTATTCTTCTTTAGACCTTTATTTCTTTTTTGTTGTTTTTATTTTGTTTTGAGAAAGACAATTCCTGACACCTTTTTGACATTCTCAGGTCCTGCACCGAAGAGACCAGAGCACAGCCACTGGGCGAAAAGGGGTTTGTGCAAAGGCAAAAGGCGAATGCCTTCGGAACTTTGGGCCCTCGTCTTGGCATTCTTGCTACTAGTAATAAAGAATGCTACTTAGGGGCTCCTGGCATCGCTACTAGTAACAAAGGGCATTACTACTAGTAGCATTCCTGCTACTAGTAACAAAGAAGCTACTGTTGCCAGGCCCTTTGTCGGTCTGTTGCCAGGCTTGAAGATCGCAGCACATTTGCCTCTCATTTCTTTCTTTCTACCATGAGAAACTACAAGGCCATAAGACACACATTTCAGACACATTTGGCATTCGGGACCTAAGCATTCTTGTAGCAAGGGTGTTTGGCAAGTGGGACTTCACAAGAGGAACGAAGGAACCGAAGAGAAAACGACAGTCTAAAAGGGAACAGTCTAAGGGAAAAGGGAAAAGAACGAAGGCAAGGAATCAGGAGAAAAAAGAAAAAGGAGTAAAAAAGGAGTCAAAAAAGAAAGAAAGTAGTAACAAGTGCCACGCTAGTAGTAACAGGTGCCTTACTAGTAGTAACAAGAAGCTAGAAACAAGTGCCTTACTAGTAGTGCTTTTTGTTACTACTAGCGTGGCACTTGTTACTACTAGAAAGACATGCCTTATCAGGTCTGACAATGCAGAATTGTGAACTCAGGAGCTTGAGCTTCGACCCTGCACCCTCTTGAAGGCAAGTCAGTTCTTAAACGTACAAGCGATGACCTCCCACCTAGAAGCCTCTTGTTTCTAATAGCTAACCTTGTTACTACTAGTAAGGCATTTGTTACTAGTGGCGATGCACTTATTACTAGTAGCTTCTTGTTACTACTAGTAAGGCACTTGTTACTAGTAGCGATGGGAAAATAGATGTGTTCTTTTTCTTTTGCCCAAGGCCCCGTCTCCCTACTTATTGAAGTAGGCGCCTGCTTAATTAAGGGAGTAAGCTTCTAGGTCGGACACAGGATAGCTCGCACTATTCATTTGCTTCCTAGACATTTAGGGAAACCAATAGCAATGCACTAGCGATGGCCTCGCCTCCTACCTAGAAGCTACTTGCTTTCTAATAGGGTACTTTGGTACTGGTGTACTGGTATGCTACTGGTGTAAGTCCACATAATTACAACTTCGCCAAAAGATTCAAGCAGAAATCGACCAACAAAACTGCAGGATCGAAGATCAGAATCCATCAAGTGTGTGCTGACTGACAAGACCTTGCAGGGCACCCAGCCACTTCCGCCACGACCAACATAAGCATGTTGCAAATTCAAACAGTGTCTTCTTGCAGACAATTAAACCATGTGTGTTTTTTCTCAAGGAGTTCTACCAAAGAGTAGGGAGTTTCATGGGAATCGTTTCACCTGTAACAAGAAGCTAAGAAAGCTATACAACTTCCAAGACAAGTTCCTTTGAGTGAACAGGAACGGACAGAAACGGAACGGATGCTCTGCGGACGACAGAAACCGCTCTGAGAGCAGGTGCTGCACGCCCTGCCATTGGGTCTGCGCTTTGCCCATCTGGTGCCAAGAGCCGGTGTGTGGTTCAGACTAGGTGCATCGCTTCTAGTAACAAGTGCCTTACTAGTAGTAACAATGTTCGCTACTAGGAGCAAAGAGCATCGCTACTAGGAGCAAGGACGCTACTAGGGGCTCCTGGCCTTACTACTAGGAGCAAGGACGCTACAAGGACACAGATAAAAACACCATGTGAGCCACGTTTTTTTTGCAAATGATTAGGTTTATACAAAAAGGGAACTGTTGAGAAGTCGCGGAGGCTGTTCTGCTTGGGGCGTAGGCGTCGTGTAAGCATTTTGCGTAGGTGGGTGTTGAAAGATTTGCGTAGGCAGTCTTGCGTAGGCACCCTTTTCATGAAAGCCTGAATTTTCTTATTCAGACTTCTTTAAAAGTTGTTCAAGGGTCTTGGGGAAAGATAATGTTGGCTTGTAGTTGTTTAACTTGACACTTGCTTGCAAATTCCAGTGGGGAAGGAAAATGAAAATGAATTGTAACGACATGGCTACAGTGGATGTTTGAAGTTTGTTTGTCGAAGCTATGGGGGCACATTGGTTTTTGAGGTCAAAAGCTTGATCGTGCTTGGTCTGGCACACCGGCTCTTGAGCTACAACTGTGCGCACCCTGTTGGTACCATAATCAATGGACCTATTTTCGCGTAGGCCCCGCGTAGGCGCTCGCGGAAGCAGCGCGTAGGCAAGAAGCTATTGGCTGCTGCTACTGCTTGGCTGCTGCTTTTGCTGCTGCTTTTGCTGCTGCTTGGCTGCTGCTGCTGCTGCTGCCTCTTGTTTTCTGCTTGTTGTGCGCTGTTTATGTGCTGCTGCTTCCACACTGTAATTGGATCGGCTTGATACAAAATCTATCTGGCCATCGGTAGCAAAGCTGTAAACGCCTTGTAAACAGGAACCTGCTGTGACCCGGTCGCATCGGGCCACTACTTGCGGATTATATAGCTCTTTTCGAGTCACCTGATGTGACTAAAGTTGGTGACAGCACCCTGCGTAGGCATCCCGCGTAGGCACCTAACAAAGAGAACCTCTCGCGTAGGCATTTGCTTGAGAGGGGAGCCCAGGCGTAGGCACCCGCGTAGGTACAGACCCAGTGTATAAGCCCCACACCACAAAAAAGAACACAACTCATGTAGGAAAAAACAAAGAGAAACAAGAATACAAAAACACAAATGATGGTTTTTCTCTTTCCAGTTTCTACCTTTTTCGATACCCATGTGCTTTTGTTTTCACACAAGTCCGACTCCATGGATGGCCTCCAACCTAAGAGCGATGGCCTCCTACCTAAGTTCCATGATTTGTTTGTCAGATGTCTTGAAGTAGTAACAAGTGCCACGCTAGTAGTAACAGGTGCCTTACTAGTAGTAACAAGAAGCTATTTATTTAGATTTAAATTTCAATTCCTAGTAGCGTCCTTGTTACTACTAGTAAGGCACTTGTTACTAGTAGCGATGCACTTGTTACTAGTGCCAGGAATATGACCGCGAAAGGGGGCGATGCCCAGACGCGGCTCAATGAACTGCTTGCCATGGCCACGACCTGAGAACGACAAGAGATGGAGCAAAGCGATGGCCTTCACCGTCTTGAGCTGCATTTCTTTTCTTGATTCCTTTCCTTAGACCTTTGATGCTATTAGTAACAAGTGCCACGCTAGTAGTAACAGGTGCCTTACTAGTAGTAACAATAAAGCTATTAGAAACAATAAGCTAACCGTAACCGTAATTTCTTTCTGTTTCCTCGCTACTAGGAACAAGTGCATCGCTTCTAGTAACAAGTGCCTTACTAGTAGTAACAAGAAGCTAATGTCTTTCTTTCTTTCTTCGCTTGAGTATGCGAAGAGTCTTTGCGACGAACGCCATCGGTGCCGATTGAGGCTGAGAGCTGGCCGTGCGCGAATCAGCTCGTCTGCCAGCGTGGCTCTTGGTTTCAAGGCTTGGTGAAGGCCACCCAATAGACCGACCGAAATGCAAGCTTGATTCTAAACAAAGAACATACCTAGTAGCGTCCTTGCTTCTAGTAAAGCCAGGAGCCCCTAGTAGATTCTTGTTCCTAGTAAGTTTTCCCGCAAACCTACTACTATTCTTCAAAGACTTTCCCACTGCCTTCAGCGAACGAAAGCTTCCTCAAAGAATCCGCTCTTGTGCATCGAAACTAGTAGCTTGATGTAGCTTGATTGCTACTACTTAAGCTTCTTCACGGCCTGATCCCATCCGCTGATTGAAAACATATTCCTGCATACGAAAAAGACACCATGAAAGAACATCGGCTCTTTTGCACACATCACAAAGGTCACTCTAGCTAGGATTGTGAGCTAGAAAGGATGCCACTAGAGGCGTCTCATCACAGCAACTTCAATGGAGGCAATCGTTTTTGGTTGGAGGCCATTGCTATTTGTGTGGAGGCCGTGAGGTCTGCTAGCAAGTAAATGATCACACGCATATGAGCAATCGGAGGCCACCCAAGCAATCAAGACAAGCGGAGAAGGACAAGACAAGTGGAGGGAACCCTGGGAACTCTGCAAAGACACCTTTTGAAAGGAATAAGAGCCCATGACAGGCAAACCTGCTTGGGAAAGAAAAGAAAGAAGACCAAAACAGAAAAAAGGCAAAGCAGGTCCAAGACCAAAAGACAATAAAGAACCATTATTGTAGTCCTTGAGTTGTAGCTGTTTTAGGGCTGTGCCGTTCACTGCTTAAAGAAATGTATCTTTTTCCTGCGTGTCTTTTTCGTTCTCTTTTCTTTCGTGTCTTATTGAGAGGTTTGCTACTAGGGGCTCCTGGCCTTACTACTAGGAGCAAGGACGCTACGAACGTAACAAGTGCCACGCTAGTAGTAACAAGTGCCTTACTAGTAGTAACAAGGTTCGCTACTAGGGGCTCCTGGCATCGCTACGAACGGAGCGATCGGACGCTACGAACGTAACAAGCACAGTTCTTTGGAGTTTGTGAAACGAGGCCCAAGACTCACGCCGGATCCTGAGTTATTGGAGTCTCTCGGTTGACTTCTGTCTTCTTCTTGACTTCTGCCTCTCGGTTGACTTCTTTTGTACTGTTTGTATGCCCGACACTGGAGGTTCTCAAACTAATATAGTATATGTTCGCAGCAATGAAAGGCAATCTTAGGTTGGAGGCCACTGCTAGTAGGTCGGAGGCCATCGCTCTTGGGGTGGAGGCCATCGCTATTAGCTTCCTTTTGCTATTAGGTTGGAGGCCGTCCATTTTTTCGGCAAGCTTCAGGCAGAAAAGGGATGGAAAGAGGAGACGGAAAGGGTCAAGCACAAGGCAGGCCGTGGTGGGTGTATCAGTCAGCCTTCACTTTTGGGGCTCTTGGTGATGAGCATTTCAAGTGACAGCAAGGTCACTGCCAAGCCCAAGAAGGACGAGGTTCGAGTCTCTAAGATGCAAATAGTGTTGTTTCAAAAGCGCGCTGGAAGCGGTCAGGGCATGGCCTTACTACTAGGAGCAAGGACGCTAGTAACTTGCCAAATGGTTTTGTAACAATGGTTGCTATTAGAAACAAGAAGCTACTATAGAATTAGAACTAAAACTAGTCTAAATTTAATTAGAATGTAACTAGAATTGAATCAAGAAGCCGCGCGTGCGCGCGCGCGCGCGCGGGGGGGGGGGACGCTACTAGGAGCGGTCAGGGCATCGCTACTAGGAGCGATCGGACGCTACGTTCGGGGATCCTGGCCTTACTACTAGGAACAAGAAGCTACTGCTGGAAGAGAACGTTCTTTCGAAAAGGTTTGGGGCTCTAAAGAAAGAAAGACCAACAAAGAAAGGTCTGGGCACCGATCTAAGTGTCCCCAGAAATCTAGCAACCAAATGAATAGTGCCAGCGTGAGCTATCCCAGCAGCTACTTAAGCTACTAGCTACCTCTTCTACTAGCTACCTACCTAGCTAACCTACCCTCACCTCTACACGGGCTTACACAAATAGTAGAGAAAGAAAAGTGGTCCTTTCTAGACTGGAAGAACACTGGAAGTCCTTTGAAGCAAAGCAACTGGTAAAAGGAAGAGACCAGTCAAGGCTTTTTCAGGAAAGATCGACTTGCTCCAAGTTGTGGGGAAGAAAGTCCGTATGTCCAGGAGCCCCTAGTAGCGTCCTTGCTCCTAGTAGTAAGGCCAGGAGCCCCTAGTAGCATCCGTGTTCCTAGTAGTCTACAGAACGGAGGCATTCTTAGAATCTTAGAAAGGGGTCGGAAAGATCTAAGACAAGCCGAGGAGCAAGCCCAGCCTGTGACAAAGACCAGAAAGACCAGAAAGAAGAATAGAAGAGACCAAGGACGCCAAGTCATCGCTGCAGAAGAAGACCGGAGAACAAAGAACGAACACATGACACGCATAGAAAGGGCAGGTGTAAGGGTTGATTGGACAAATAGAATAAGCAAACAATGAACAACTAAGAGCGATGGCCTCCAACCTACTAGCAATGGCCTCCAACCTACTAGCAATGGC